ACTTTGATAAATAATAATAGTCAATTAGTATGATAATCAAATGTATTATATTAAACCAGACAAAACAAGCAGAATAATAGTGTTGATTGTAGCGAATTGTAGCTCGTTCCGAAGTTGATAATCTCTGTGTAAGTCGTGTGTGATGGCTGGGCGGCTAAGCGAGTCGTGTGGTGTTCTCGTCTCTGGATACATCTACTCAGGCTGTCTCGCTGTCCCCTATATATATGGTGGCGGCGTCCTTTGAAAGTGAGCGGTGCGTGTACAGTCGTCCTTGATATGGATCTCACGACTATGAAAGTGGTATTCGTAGTCGAAAACACTTTTGGGTGTGGTCGCATTCCTGGTTGTTATTATGAGCAAATATATGATATTGCGTAATCCCATTCCTGGTTGTTATTATGAGCAAAATACATGATATTGCGTTATCCCATTACACTATATCTAACTATTCTGCCGGAAATTCCATGACTTCTGTGGTCCTGACCCAGTTAGCAATAATTTATTCTTGATATATTCCAAGAATATAGTTGCAGGATGGACAGCATATTCTAGGATTATCCGATTTTATAGTATGTATCACCAAAGATGATTATAGGAATAAATAAATGTTCCACCTATAAACATCCATTGTATATGTTTTCAGAAGTTTCATTATACAATAAATGAATATTCATTGATTATATTTGTCAAATAAATGTATAATATTCAAAAATTATCCCTAGTTAATACTTGTACATATATAATTAGTACCTATACAATTGTATATATATATTTATATATGTGCGATTTGTTAGGCAAAATATAACTACGGTATACAAGATATTACTGGCTTTATTACTTTCTGTAAAACGACACAACTTAACTACACTAATCGGCACACTGGTTACAATAATGCTTACTCAACAACACTTCACCTATCACCGGTCTCAGCGTCACTATAGTTGCTTATAAATATGCTTATACTTATTGCTTAAGCAACGAGTTGATGGTCAAGAACGCTCTCTATGGGAGAGACTCCCCTCCCACATATATATATATTTCAGAATTTTCCATACTAACTTTGAGAATGATGTCTGAAAATTCCAAAAATTGTAAACCTTCTCAAACATAACAGTCTTGTACATGTAGTTTTGTGATTAATTTAAATTAAAAGTAGATAGGTATAAAACGAATTGACCATGTACATAATATAAGTTTTGAATTATTCATATAATATATTAAAATTAATAACAATTTCTAACTTAAAACTCATTTATTAACAATATAAATGTAATCAACTTTATTAATTATAAATATAAATGTAATGTAATACAAAAAGTGAAATAAAAATAAAAAAATTAATTAATATAACTAAATAAAAACTGTTTATAACTTATAAAATTATAAACTTTATGCAACCAACATTGGAATGAAAATTATATAATATACACGATGAATAGTGCTTTAAAAGAAACTCTTTAAAAACTTAAAAAAAAAAATTATAAAAAAAATTAACTTCATATAAACAGTTGTATTTATATATAATAAAAATTTAAGTAGTACTGTCATTATTAGAAAAATTAGTTTTACCTATGTTTTCTGACACAAATTTCAATCGTTCCTTAGCTTTAGCTAACCAAACTCCTTGAATTCCTTCAATATTTTTGTCAGCGAGGTCGGGATACTTCAATCGTATAGCACCTTGAAAAAAAAATAATTTTAAATTTTTTTTTGAGATATTTTATTAAAATGTTCATTAGTATTGAGAAAATGCATAAATATAATTTAAATATATTAATATTATTTTTATATACATAGGTGCAACTAGGGTTGGCTCAGCCCACCAACTAATATTAAGGACCAAAGAAAATATACCTTGTTGATTTTAATATTTGTTACTAATTATGCTCATATTAATATGTTAGCATAATGATGACTAATGGAATATTTTTTTGCATGTGTAAGTATGTAAGTACCTATTTGACTAGTAAAAAAAATGATTTAAGTAATTAATTTATAAAATATTATATGTGATGGTGGTCTAAGGAAGATGACAGGTTATTTTTATTTTATAGTTTTGACAAGGGCTGCCCCCCCCCACCCACCAATATGAACCCTAGTTGTGCTTATGTAAATATATATATATTATTTCAATAACTTTGGTATTTATAATAACATAAAATACATTATTTTGATTCCAAAGCAAGTGAAGAGTGAACATAACTTACACTTAAGAAGATAAGAAGATAAGAAGATGTTGTAGATAGAAAGCTCATTTTCTTTTGCTTTCCTTTAAGACTGAAATTCGCAGCTACTCCATCGCTTAATGTCTTCCTCGTAAGTCTTCTTATTTATTCAGCCTCGCTGTTACTACCAACTAAGGCCATTTTTTTAACCTACAAAATTGTTTTCATAAGTAAATACAGTTTTAATAGAATATGTAAAAGTTTGGCCCGTGTTTTCCAGCATATGAATATAGCTGAACAGGAATCACATTGGATTCACCTATGTGAGAAATGAAACTACATATTATGTAAAATTACCAATAAAGAAAATAATTGAGTTCCTTTGATAGAGTCAAGTTTTTGGTCTATTTCATTGAAATCTGCTATACTTGATATGGGAAATGAGTTATACAATGTATTATTATCTAATATCTTCATTTGTTTCTTCTTGTGATACTCCTGTAATTGTGTTTGAAATTAAATTCTGGATGTTAAATAAGCAATTGTTCATTTCCGTGTGACGTAAATTTATTGAAATAAGTATCATTGAAATTTCATTATGATAAGTCCTTATTTCTAAAGAAAATTAATATTTAATTTATTAATAAGAGCATTTCTATAAATTTAATTAACTATAAACACACCTTTTTATACCGGGTGATTCTTTTATCAAACAACACTCATTATTTCAAAAAGTGTAAATTTTTTTGAAAATATTTATTTACAGTTTCAAATCACATATAAAACAATGTTTTTATTAAAAAATATAATTTTTTAATTTTTTTCCTTTTTTGAATGACAACATTAGGTTTTTAATTTTATATTCCAAAGCAAAATATTTTTCTTAGTATTTTGATACATGAAAATCGAATTTGGGGCGAGTAGTTTATGAGTTATAACTTATTAGTATTTAAAGTTTTGATGAGTGGAGTGGAGTGGTACGGGGTTACCCCGCAAAATGTTTGTCCACTTCTCCGCTCATCAAATCGGTGATATCAGTGATAAAAGAATCACCAGCTGGTTTAACATATTATACTACACTTTATTACTAAGTAACAAAATTAAACATATATTATAGCAATAATATAGCCAGAGGTGAGAGGACACATTGTACCTAGGTATTTCCATTAGCAAATTAGGGTTGATTGTAATGTATGCAAAGTAAAAACAAATGAGTGTTTAATGTAAAATATGCCATCCACTAAATGTTAATATTAAAAACTTTTAGTGCAAAAATTCACACAATGAAAATTTAAATACCTTTAGAGATGTGGTCTTGAACTTCACTGAACTTTTCATTAATTCTGTTCATAACATTAATCATTAATTTGAAAATCGTTATCCAATGATGCTGAATTTTTATTAGAATTAAGATTAATCTTATTATAATTATCTGCAACACAAGAACAAATTAATATTAATAATCAGTTATTTCTAATAATGAACATTTTCAAATAAAAATTACTTGTTTCAACAGCTACATTTGAATCCAAAATAATATCAGAAAATAAATCTTCAGAATCAAACGTTATCGAGTTATTAATGTTTTTGTCCTGTTCATTTATTATAGTATTAGAGACCTTAGAACGATGACTACTTAAATCTATAAAAGCAATATCATTATACATTTTATTTAAGAACTCATTATATATTTTATTAAGAATATCAAACCTGAATTCATTTCTGGGAAATCAATAATTATTTTTTTTTTATTAGCATTAGGTAATATATCATCATCGATTTCATAAGATAAACGTTTCTTTACAATTTAATGTGATTTCTGTTCAGCAATATTCTTAGAAGTTTTGTTATGCAAATGAAGTAACTCAGGAGATATTGATTCTACATTTAAAATATTGGAATAAAAATAAGTATAAAAATAATAATAATAATTTAGGTAAATCAAAAAAGTAATAAAGTACTGACCTGATAACTGAGGGAAGTCTGGAATTTTTAACCTGGTTTTAGTTTTATTTATTTTTATTTGAGGAATGTCTTCCTCACTATCAGATATTGAATACTTTGGGTTAGGTTTAGAAATTCTAGATTTTATTGTCATTGATATTTCTTGAGGATCATCTTCCATAGTTGATAATTCTGAATCTATGGTGGCTTTATGAGCTAAACGCATTGCTTGTTGATAATTCATTATTCTTTTTTTTGACATCATAAATATTTTATGACTTGTCCAATCATCTTTTGGATTTTCTTTTTGTTTAATTGCAGCAGCCATTTTATTTTTTTCTGTATATAAAGGCCATACACAGTTTTCAAAATTCTTCAACCAATTACTCGACACAGCTTCAATAGTATCTTCATCAATACATTTTACAATATACCAACCTATGTTATTTGGCTCACTCATTTTTATTTAGAATAGGAGGTATGTAATATTATCTAGAATCATAGAATAAACATAATATTTTAATAAACTATCCTGTGTATAATATATTATAACTGTCCTGTGTATCACTTAAAAAAATTAGTTTAAAAAATGTATTAAGTATTTAAAATGTATATCTATTATATACTTTCATAATATAATATTTATGATTAAAACATGTGTTAAATAATATAAAATGCAATATACACATTATAAACATATCTTACAGAACCATGGTATTGCCAATACAATATATTATATTAGGATTAATTTTTTTAATTTGTACACTCAAGCAATTCAATTCATGGTGTGTGTAATAAAGGAAATACTACCCAATATGATTCATAAGGTAACCTTACTAGTATTTTACAAATATGACTTATTGGCCAAGTCATAAAATCTGTACTCAAGTGTTAGACAATATGTACATTGACTACAGAAGAATCACAAGGCGTATTAAAGAAATTTTCAATTGTTGAATATTGTTTTCCAATAACCATGGTTTCTTTTGATAGAGGACTATACGCAAAGTTAGATATTTCAACAAATGCGCCACATTTGAGTTTGCAACAACAATTTCTTTTAGTAAGATCAAGTTTATAGTTAGGAAAATTAATTTCTTGATATTGGGGTGAAATACAATCATCTATTAAAATACCATTATTATGTTCTTTCCACAATGTATAGCTAAGTTCATTATTTTCATTGTTAACTGGTGATGTTTCTGCATTACTTATTTCAGATAGACGTCGCATAATTTGTGATAAAATATTATTAGGTTTTCTAACAAGTTTTTTTAGTTTTAGTAAATAGTTTTCAAATCCAAAATTAATAAAAGAGTCCAATGTCCCAAATGTTCTAGCATCATCACATAAATGTAGTAAATTATGAACATTATGTACTAAAAATTCAGTAGGTACCATAAATAATTTTACAACTCAACACAAAATGTATCAAAAGTTCTTCACTGAAATTGATTAGAGAATTCCAAGCTGGACATAACAAAATAATTATAGCAGTTTGTAATGTTATAAAATGATCATACTTTGTTGAATCTAGAATTCCTTTTAAAACTATCGGCCCTGTGTATAATAAAAATTGTCTATATGCAGCACTGAACTCAATAATATGGAACGCGTATTGCGAAAAAAAATTGATGCCCCCTAGTAGTCCGCCATTTTGATTCTTCTCATGGACTAAACAATTTTCTCATGGAATAAACAATTTAACGAAGCAATATCAGAGCGATGTTTTGTGATAATGTTGCCGCTTAATTTTAAAATTCCCTATAAGAGTACTAAGAAATTATCATCAGTTCTCAGAAAATGAAGTTCCTGAAAGTTAAACACCATTGCTGGAATTCGTGTCATTTTCCTAATCTCCATTCTATTATCCCATAGGTACCTCAATAAAATATAGTACTTCCCACTTAATAGCATTGGAATTGTAAATTTTTTTTTTGTTCATTGTAATTTGTTATGGTAAATAGTGATTTATAACTGCAAAGTATTTTGATTTTCATAAATTGTATTATTTTGTTACCACAATTATGGTCCATAAGTGTAGTGTAGCCGGCTGCAGGCAAAAATATATTAAAGGCCTGAGTTTCTTCAAGTATGTATTCAATTAAATATAATATTGTATCGTATTATTATTATGTATCTGTATGAAATTGTTTAGAGTTCCATTTCACGATGCTGTACGGTCAAAAAAATGGACGAATGTGATAGGGATAAATGAAACTAGTAATAAAAATTGCTTTGTTTGTGAAAGACATTTTAAAAGTTGTGATTTTGATCACAATGGAATTGGTGTTAATGTTAAAAAATTGAAATTATCTGCGGTGCCCAGTTTGTTTTTACCGGTAGTAAACAATTTATTTAAAAATAATAATGACAAATTTATTAATATTACCTACAATCTATATGCATAGGTGATTGAAATAGTAAATGCAGAATATGAGCATAGCCATAACGATATGGAATTATCATTTGATTTTGAGGTAAAAAATAAATCCATCAGATTTTTAGTTGGTTCTTTACTAAAGTTGAAATAATTTGTTTAGGAAGTTGAAATGAATAATGATGATGTTAGTGATGAAAACTTACCATTAAACAGAAATGAAACGAATAATGATGATGTTAGTGATGAAAACTTATCATTGGACGGAAATGAGATGAATGACAGTATTTGTAATGAAAAATCACCAATTAAAATAAATGACGTTACTCCAAAAATTTTATTTCCTCAAGTAATAAACAATAATATTAAATGCCTAAGCACTAAGTTAAAAGTACACATAATATATTATATTTAGTTCCGTCTTTGACATTTGATGGTCCTTCATCTCATTTTTCTATGGCCCATGCATTAGGAGCAAATTTATCAATATCTAACATGAAAACTTTTTTTCCACATCCTTGTGACCCAACAAAATTTGTCCACTGCATAATAGATCCTTGCCATGCACTGAAGTTGGTGAGAAATGCTTGGTCTTCTATGCGCGTGATTTATGATGGTGATAATAATAAAATTGACTGGGGATACATTGAGAAACTAGTTACATTACAAGAAAATGAAGGACTTCACGCTGGTAATAAGCTGAGGAGAAGACACTTGGAATGGAAACAATCACCAATGAAGGTCAATATAGCAGCCCAGACTTTAAGCTCGAGTGTTGCAGATGCTATTGATTTTTGTCGAAACCTTAATATTAAAGAATTTGAAGACAGCGAGGCAACTACTCAGTTTATACGAACAATTGATAGATGGTTTGACATTCTTAATTCCAGAAATCCGCATGGTTGTGGTTATAAAAGTCCGTTAAGATCAACAAACATTGACCAAAGAACAAGAGAATTACATACAATAACAAATTATATATTAAAAATAACATGGGGATCAGGCAAGGGACTAATGGTTGAACATCCAAAAAAGACTGGCTTTTTTGGTAAAATTTAAAAATATATTATACCTCTATAATTCATAACTTTGTTAATAATTAAAAAAATATTTACAGAAATAACAAATTAGATTTTATTCTGACTAATTGATGAAAAAAAAAAATGTAGAAAATATTATTAATGTACCTAACCTATACTTTTTTTTTCAACTATAGGTATTATAATTTCATCATTAAGCATAATAGATATATACAGGAAAGTAATTGATCCAAATCCTGATCAATTTAAGTATCTGCTTACCTATAAAACGTCCCAGGACCATGTAGAGTTATTTTTTAATGCTATAAGAGCTCGAGGTGGTTGGTGTGTGAACCCAACACCTAGACATTTTAGTGCTGCATACAAAAAATTACTGATGCATCATTGTGTCAAATCATCCGGTGGAAATGTCGAATCTTTGGACAATACAGGTATACTTTTTACAACCCGTTTGCCAGTAGGTAAATTTGAAGATACTCTGCCAAATGATACTTTATCTATATCTAATGGAAGAAAATTTAAAGAAATGTTTAATGATGAAAATTATACTAATACCGGAGAAGAAAATATAACTTGCTTACCCGATTTTGATATTGATCATAACAGAGAAATTCAAAAAGAACTCTATGACATAGGTTTAGAAATGCCACCAAATTATTTTGTACTTAGTGAATTTTCGGAGAATGTAGTTGCTTTAGTTGCAGGATATGTTGTTCGAATGGTAAGTTATAAATATATTTAACTTTAACAGCAAGAATAATTTAAATAAAATATGTTGCAGGTTAGCAAACGGCTAAAATGCCACGAATGTACAGCAGCCCTATACAAAGGCAACCTTAATGAAAATCGTGTGCTTCTAATAATCCAAAATAGTCGAGGTGGTCTTATAATACCAGCAGATGATGTGATAACTGTTTGCCACATGACAGAACTCTTGTATCGTCGAGTATTAAATGACATTTCAGAAATAAGTGAAAATGATTTTTCCCAAAATTTAGCACTACTGTTTTCAGTCGCCTATGTCAAAAAAATTTATTTAATCAGCTATATTATCATTCCTTTGATTCTGAAGAAAATCACATACAGATACTAATAAAAACTATCTCATTATGTTTCATAAGAATCAGAAACTTTCATGAAACCAAAAAAATCAATACAAATATGATAGGCAAAAATAAACGTAAAATTTTAACAAGATTAGCCATACTACAAAATGTTTAAAATTTAGTTATAATAATAAAAATAACATATTATTATGTACAATAATATATAATAGTAAATAAAAGATAATTAATGTTAAATAGATATTATTTATGTTTCTAATTTTATTATTTTTCAATGCATTGGTTTATTAAACTATAGTAACTGCACTTGATCACCACACTACGTATTAATTACAATAATTAATTATGAATTATTATTCACTATTACAATAAACTCCTATGGACGTTACGAACTATAGTAATTATGAACGATGGAAAAACAAAATGTGTAGTTAAAACTTAAAGTTAACATTTTTAAATTAAGGGACCTGCTCGCGATTTTTCAAATTTTCCGCAATTCTATAAAATTTGAAAATTAAATTTTATATTTTAGTTGCCACCTCAATTATAAGACTTTTCCACTAATCTACTACCCAATACCTATTTAGGGGGGGTTGATAGGGTGTATTATATCGGTCAAAACACAGTTTACAGGAAAAACTCTCACACCTCGTAGATTGGTCCGATTTCCGTAATTTTTTTTTTGTTAGATAGAGGAATATTTTTTACAGGGCGCATTGGACTTCGATTTTTGATTACGTCGCTAAAAACAAAAAATAATACAAAAACTAAAAAGTTGTAAAAATTGATTAAATTCAAACTTGTAACATCAGACTTAGAAAAATAATTTTGAAAATCCAAGTCCAATGCGCCCTGTAAGAAGTCTTCCTCTATCTAACAAAAAAAAAATTACGGAAATCGGACCAATCTACGATGCGTGAGAGTTTTTCCTGTAAGGCATGTTTTTGAGCAAAAAAACAGGTCGCGTGCAGGCCCCTTAATTAACATTTAAGTATTTAACATTCCACAGGTATAACATAATATTACAATTCTATGATATTCTGATATCACTGAGATTTGGTAGAAGATAAGCTAATAAAACAGTTCTATCCATGAAATATCATGGAAAGAAACATTAACAGAATGAAGATGGCAGCCTCATAGGGGGCATCACTTTTTGTATTAGAAAATATACACAATACGCGTTCCATATTATTGAGTTCAGTGATATTCAGTAGCTTTAAACTGTTTTACTTTTTTTAATGACCAAGGCCTTCTAGCAAATTCACATGGTATATACTTTTTTAAAGAAATTAGTTTTGTAGATATGAGGTTAACTTGATAACTTGATAACTTATGAGGAGGATATCCAAAAATCCAAGTTCCTACTAATAAACGCTTTACGACTCCTAATAATATAAGATGCATATAATCGAGTGGTATTTTATCAACCAAATCAAGGTTTGGGATTTTTTCTAAGGTAGTTCGACCAATATGATGATCTTCTTGAGTTTGAGCAATAAAATCATCATGAGTCCTCTTTGTAAAATCTATATCTGGAAAACATACTCTTCTATTAAAATAAATACCTTCTTGTGTACATTTTGAACATGAAGATAACCTGCGTGACCTTTTATAAAAAGAACACTAGATTTGGCAACTGCATCAAAAGGTAACATTTCTATCTCAAAAATTGTTTCTTTACCACAAACTATAATGGACTTCCCAGAAATGTCAGCTGCTTCTTCAACAAATTTATACAATAGCTCATTAAAATCTGAAGGTTTTTCATAACCATGATATATTCCGATTGGAAATATACTATTTTCATTACAGTTTTTTACCATACCTAGAATCGGATAAAGCTGACTTTCGGATGATTTACTTAATGGAAGTCCATCTATATTAATTGCTAATCTTATTACTTTAGGAATGGTG